CTAATCACCCCTTTAATGCATTGGTCCGTTGGAGCCTATTTTGGCACTATAAAAAGGGGTGTTTGGGTCTGTTTTTCTCACCAATTCACTTCACAATATTCATACTTTCATTGCATTCAAATAACATCATTTTCCATAGCTTTCTAGAGCCAAATTGTGTGAAGATTGAGTTGTTCTTGAGCGTACTTAGTTTACTCATTATCTACTCTACAAGAGAGTCTCGTTCTTGAGTGTATTTGTGTTCTTAGACACGTTGAGAGAAGGTATTTCTCTCGGTTGATTCAAAGGAAGGATTGTTTCCTTTGAAGGATTCGTTGAGGTTCGTGTGACTCGAACTCTCAAGTTGTAAGGCTTTGTTAAGCACCGTTAAGCTTAACAAGATAGTAGTGTAGCTCGAGAGAGTCTCTCGGGAGGCTGGATTAGCCACAAGTTGTGGTGAACCAGGGTAAAATTCGGTGTGCCTCCTACTCTTCTCTTTACTTCTCTTTTACGGAGTAATTTTTTATTTCCTGCGATTTCTACGATCAAACGCTATTCACCCCCCCTCTAGCGTTGGTCTATTATTCTAACAGTTAAGAAAATTTCTTTTAGACCATGAGTTCAGATAGGGTCAAGTCGACACTGATCTTTTTATCAAGAATGTCAACCAAGACATCCTTTTGGTTCACGTTTACGTAGATGATATCATATTCAGTGCTTTTAACGAAGTTTTATGTAGAGATTTTTTCAATATGATGCAAAACTAATTTGAGATGTCAATAACGGGAGAATTAAATTTCTTCCTTGGGCTACAAATTAAGCAATACAAAGAAGGTACGTTCGTGTGTCAAACAAAGTATTACAGGAAATTGTTAAAGAGATTCAACATTACCGAATCCATATCCATTGCCACACCAATAAACACCTCTTGCTATCTTGAAAAGGATGATAAAGGTAAAGAGGTAGATGTTAAAGGCTACCGAGGTATGATCGGCTCTATACTTTACCTAACCGTGAGTAGACCAGATATCATGTACTCCATTTGTACGTGTGCTAGATATATATAAATCTTGTCCTAAAGAATCAAACTTGGTTACACGATTAAGAGGATAATGTGATATCTCGTTGGTACGTTGAATGTAGGTATTTGGTACGGTACTTCAAAGGTTCGACGTGTCATCTTGTTGGCTATTCCGACTTGAATTTTGCTAGATGCAAACTCGATAGGAAGAGTACCAACGGTACTTACCACTTGTTCAGTCACTCGTTAGTCTCTTGGTTTAGCAAGAAATAAGTGAGTGTTGGACTATCCACCACCAAAGGGGATATATGTCGCTGCGGGAAGCTGTTATGCCAAAATCTTTTCGTTAAAACAACAACTAGTGGGCTTCAGCCTTGTACTTGATCACATCCCAATTAGGCGTGACAATACAACAACAACCCAATTGAATCCCACTACAGTAGGGTCTAGGGAGGGTGTGTGTACGCAGACATTGCCCCTACTCGGAAGTAGGGATGCTGTTTCCAAGAGACTCCCGACTCAACAATATGAGTACGATTAGTCTAACAAAGAACCCCGTTCTTCGTTATCGAACTAAACATATTAAAATTAGGCATCACTTCATACGAGATCACGTTCAAAAGGGAGATGTCACAATTGAGTTTGTTGAAACGAAACATCAATTGGCAGATATTTTCACAAAACCGTTTTAGTATGAAGAGTTTCTTCCACATTCGGAACGAACTTGGTATTTTGGAGATTTATATGAACTAATTCATTCATTTATTTTAAATTACTAACTTGAACATCGGAGGCGCAATAAATGTTTTTTTGCAGGGTTTTTGACATGTATTTAATCCCTTGGTAATGTCTTTTGGTTGAAATTGATGAACTTTTTCTTCTAAATCTTTCTTTTTGAACCTCAAACAAAATAATCAATTTTCGTCTTTGCCCCAAAATCGATTAGATCCGCCTGTGTAAAATTTTAGCCTGGATCATTTTGGCTAATCAATTTTTCACTTAGTGAAATAATCGATTAGACTCTTCTGCCTAATTTTTGGCCTCTACTTCTGAATTTCTAATAGACTAATCCACTTTATTCATAATTGATTATGAACCTTTTTTCGCCAAATACTAAACCAGTCGCAGCTCTTATTTTTTCCATTCTCTCCAAGATCGATTGAGCAACGATGAAGAACTTTCAAAACCCTAGCTCTCTGGTTTCGATTAATTTTTTCTTTTTCACTCCAATTCTTCCAAAACTTCATCAAATTCAATTGCAAGGATTCTAAGGTGCAAGAACCCTAACGTGATTCAAGCTTCTTCATCCGAGGATCAACCATGGAGGTGGGATGGAAGAAAGTACATTCATGTTCAAACCAATTTTCAATTCTTCAACATCGCATCCGCTGAGAAGTATCACAAAGAGTTTCTTCCAGAGGACATCATTCCACCAAAGATTGTGGACAAGAAGCTCTGCAAATCGTCAACCTATGCCCCGAGTAAGGCCCTCTTCTCCTGTCAAGGTTTGCTTCATTTCATTTGCTTGACGTATGAATTCTTTTGTCCTAATCTCGTACGTCCATTTTATTCAAATCTTTGTATCTCTTTGGGAGAGCGGCCGACTCTCATTTCATAGGTCGATGGTAAAACCATTTTTCTTGATGGCGCAGCTTTGTCTTCCCTCTTTGGCCTTCGTAGAGATCAAATTACCAAAAACTTGGATGAAGCATTCCAAGATGAGGGAATTTGGCAACAACTCGGCATGCGTTACCGTGCCCTTCAATATAAAAATTCCAATAACCCGAGTGTTATCAACCTCACTTTGATTCAACAAGTTCAACAATGCATATTTTGTTATATTTTGATGCATTGTGACTTGAACCACGACATTGTCTACAAGGACGATATTCGGTTGTTCCACGTCCTTTAGAACAATGTCAAAATTGATAAGGTTCATTTCTTTCTCGTTGCACTACGTGATGGCTCACGCCTTTCACATCTTCATTTTGCGATACCCATTATGCATATCCTTGATCATTGTCAAGTGGACCCTTGGGACATACGGGTTCCGCTGAAGAAGACCTGCTTCATCAAAGATAGTAAATTCTCTCGGATCGTCTATCGCAAGGAGGGTGAAGTTCCACAGTCAATGGATATCGTGGTCGCAGAAGAAGAAGAAGAGAGCTTACACGATACCCGAGCTGAGTCATCCATCGCCAGAGAAGGGACGAGTCCTTCCTTAGATCGAGATACTCGTCGTCGTCGTACTCGTCCAAGAGAAAAAGCCCACGAGCCTTCTTTGGTGAAGAGGCTGTTTGACGCTATCACTTGCGTTCGCGAAGACGTCTGTCAACTTAGCGAGAGGCGTATCAAGAATTTATACAACGATAAAATTCGATGTTCCAATCCCTACGCAATATTTTTTGAAGTGAACTAAAGATTCCGAAGACTTTTTATTTTTATTGAGTCGTACGAACATTTGTAAGGATGACAAATACTTTTTCATTTAAACAAATTATTTTTGAGGGTTATACTTTAAAAATTATTATTTTTAGAGTCAGTTGAAAAATAATTATTCTCTATCTAAAAAAATTCTTTTTGAATCAGTTACGAAAGTGTGTCAAATTTTCTTAAGATATCTTTTTGTGATATACTAATTTTTTTGGATGAGAAAAATATATTTTGAAATATTTTTCGTGTACACCATTTGACACAAAAAATTTTGGACTCATTTTCCTCACTCAAAATTTATTCAAAAATAAATTTTGAATAAAATTGAATTTTTGAGAGAGCCTCTTGCCTTATTCCATGTGTTGGAAACAAGGCAGTTATGCCAAATCTTACCTCACATCGCACCTGGTTTGGGCCCTTCGTGTTTGCGCATAATTGGTTTAATAATCGATTATCCCTAATTGGAATAATCGATTAATAAACTAATCTGCTCGAGGGTTATTCTCGCATAGAAAATAAATTGATTATTACCTAATGGAGTAACGATTAGCTTTTTGGTCCGCTGAAGGAATTGAGGACAGAATGCTCTAATCGATTTTTTCCCTCTTAGAATAATCAATTTTTTTGTGTATGGTGCATTTCACAACCTCTTCTCTGTTGGAATTTTTGGCATTTTTAATAGGCATTAAATGGACCAACTTGGGTATAATTATCAATAGGTCCACTAACGATTTTAACCGTTAATTAATGGACGTGTGTTCTCATAAATGAGAAAAATATTTTGATATATTATACGCCAAAAATGGTAGAAGGGTGAATGAGAAATTGATTCTCAGATTTAACATGTTACGTAATGTTTAAAATTATTTCACTTTTACGGAGTTAACTGGCCATTAATCTCCAATTAAATAGGAAGAATTTTAAACATTATGGGTGTAACCCCCATGTTAATGGTGGTGTTAACACACCATTAAAAATATTACTAATGATGGTGAGTCATGGCTATTGAATGTGCCTTCATGGCATATAAGTTACAAAATGAAGAGCCATGGAAATGCCTATTTAAATGGAGGGACTCTTCTCCATTTTCCTTGGTGCCTTACGTGAGAAACAAAAGAGAAAAAGAAAGAAAAACTTTCTTTTCTAATATTTTAAGAGAGCTCTTGATTTTCCGGCCAAATTTTCCGGCCATCTCCTTTAAAGTTTTGGTCGTCAACGTTCCTACGTTGTTCTTGTTCGTTGGTGTGTGGTTGGTCCGTACAATCTCCACACACGATAGCGGTTTTATCCTGGGAGGAGAATGCCCACGTTTTTCCGGTACGGTAGGCGGGCACTACTACCTTAAGGACAGCTCCGGCGACTCCGCTGTCCTTCACGGTGTTTTATTTTGCAGGTTTAGTTCATAAAGACCTCGCTGCATTCTACCATAGGACATAATGTCCTTGCTGTCTAGTGCGTAATGTCCTCGCTGTCCAGTGCATAATGTCCTCGTACAACAAGGCTGTTTGAAGATATTGAAATTTATTTACAATTCTGTTTATCTTGTAATATTCTGAATAAGTTATAAATTCAGAATTTTATTTATTTTTATTTTCGGGGTCCGTTCATCTTCCCCATCCGTTGTAACCCGTACAAAAATTGCAACAATCTTAAGGTAGTAGTCATATCCGTGCGCAATGGCGGGTATGGACGGATTCGGTTTTGACGCTCTCACCGGAAACGGGAGTAGTTCCAAGACTCCGGTTGTGAATGTTTCGGCTGGATTGGGTGGCTCTATTGGGCAGATCACTCCGATCAACATTCCTTTCGGATCGAGTGCGGCCATGGGGTCCGCTCCGATCACCTCGGTTATTGGACCAACCGCGGCTACGGCCGCAATGGTCACCCCACTCAGACCGTATATGGCTTCGGCCATACTGGTCATTCCCTCACTTGGACCGAACACGGGTGTCTTCACATCCGCACCGGTCGGACATCCTACTGTCATGCTGCCTGCGAACTCTGTCAAAGAACCGGCAAAGTTCACAGGTGTTGGCTTTAAAATATGGCAGCAAAGGATGTTATTTTGGCTGACCACCCTCAACCTTACGAGGTACTTGAGGGAGGATCCCCTTGTTGTGGGGGAGAACGCGGACAAGCCAACAGTTCAGGCCATGAAGGTATGGATAGCGAATAACTATACGTGCTTTAACCTTATCCTGAATTGTATGAGCAATGCCTTCAAGAGGTGGTAACAAATATGTTATCACTTTTGTCGAATGATAGCACGAAGTATTGCTATATTTATTTACTTAAAAGTAAAGATGAGGCGTTGGACACTTTCATTCGGTATAAGAATGAAGTAGAATATCCACTCAATCGTAAAATTAAAGCGATTAGGAGTGATAGGGGCGGGGAGTACAAAGCTCCATTCGCCGATTTGTGTGCACAACATGGAATTGTGCATCAGGTAACTCCGCCATACACACCTCAATCAAACGGTGTGGCGGAACGAAAAAATCGCACTCTCAAAAATATGATGAATGCGATGTTGCTCAGTGTGGGTCTACCCCAAAATGTGGTGGAGAGGCTATTTTATCTAGCAATTATTTGTTAAATAAAATATCCCAATAGAAACTCGTTAAGACTCCTTACGAGTTGTGGTATAACATTAAACCTTCCTATAAATACCTGAAAGTGTGGGGGTGCCTTGCAAAAGTTTTAGCACCACCACCAAAGAAAATAAAGATTGGTCCAAAGACCGTTGTTGGAATCTTTATTGGCTAGAGTGGTAGCGCGTAACGATTCTTAGTGTATAGGTCTGATGATTCAGAAATACATAAGAACACATGCAAAGAGTAGCATGTATAATGGTAAGTCTAGACATATTCATCGTAGACACAAAACCATTAGACAACTTCTCACAACTGGGATTATCACAATTGACTATGTGAAGTCAAAAGATAATCTGGCGGATCTGCTAACCAAATGGTTAACAAATGAGTTGCATGAGAAGTTGGTGGCAGGAATGGGTTTGAAGCCCTTGTGCTAAGACTATCCTATGAAGGAAAACCCAACCTGGCTGGTACCCAGGTTCAATGGGACAACCTATTTGTAGGATAAACCGTGGTCACTGTGGGGGCGGTACTGGAACCTTCGGCCAGTCCCTTCTGTTCCTGCTGAAGACAGTGACTTCCGAAAATGATGAGGTTAGCATATAAATATGCTTTAATGATTCTTAACCAATAGACACAGTGGTCTAAGGGGAGTAATCGGGATACTCTTAAAGAATTACCTATGTAAGAGTGAAGTGTGGTCGCTTCAAACGGAGGATCTTGGGCTTAATCCTCTAAACACTCTCGCAGAACCAGGCGCGTGTCCCACGACCAAAATGGGCACAACCATGAGAACAGAACGGCGTTTGGTTGGAATCTGTGTATGGTGTACTATCGTTTACACAAGCGGCAGTACAGTTCAAAGACATCGCGTTCTACTGAACAGCCAGTAAAGAAGGTATACTTTACAAGGGACATGTTCAAAAGTGGAGACACTTACATATTCTTTGCAAGTTTTCAATCATGGGATGTTGTCGACCCCCTCAAATCAATTTTTCATTCATGTGGGGGATTGTTGGAATTTTTGGCATTTTTAATAGGCATTAAATGGACAACCTTGGGTATAATTATCAATAGGTCCACTAACGATTTTAACCGTTAATTCATGGACGTGTGTTCTCTTAAATGAGAAAAATATTTTGATATATTATACGCCAAAAATGGTAGAAGGGTGAATGAGAAATTGATTCTCAGAGTTAACCTGTTACGTAATGTTTAAAATTATTTCACTTTTACGGAGTTAACTGGCCATTAATCTCCAATTAAATAGGAAGAATTTTAAACATTATGGGTGTAACCCCCATGTTAATGGTGGTATTAACACACCATTAAAAATATTACTAATGATGGTGAGTCATGGCTATTGAATGTGCCTTCATGGCATATAAGTTACAAAATGAAGAGCCATAGAAATGCCTATTTAAATGGAGGGACTCTTCTCCATTTTCCTTGGTGCCTTACGTGAGAAACAAAAGAGAAAAAGAAAGAAAAACTTTCTTTTCTAATATTTTAAGAGAGCTCTTGATTTTCCAGCCAAATTTTCCGGCCATCTTCTTTAAAGTTTTGGTCGTCAACGTTCCTACGTTGTTCTTGTTCGTTGGTGTGTGGTTGGTCCGTACAATCTCCACACACGATAGCGGTTTTATCCTGGGAGGAGAGTGCCCACGTTTTTCCGGTACGGTAGGCGGGCACTACTACCTTAAGGACAGCTCCGGCGACTTCGCTGTCCTTCACGGTGTTTTATTTTGCAGGTTTAGTTCATAAAGACCTCGCTGCATCCTGCCATAGGACATAATGTCCTTGCTGTCTAGTGCGTAATGTCCTCGCTGTCCAGTGCATAATGTCCTCGTACAACAAGGCTGTTTGAAGATATTGAAATTTATTTACAATTCTGTCTATCTTGTAATATTCTGAATAAGTTATAAATTCAGAATTTTATTTATTTTTATTTTCCGGGTCCGTTCATATTCCCCATCCGTTGTAACCCGTACAAAAATTGCAACATTCTCTTCTCCCCAATGGATTTATTTTCCATATCCTTATAAAACCCTTCTTCCTCTTACATTTCACTTACAATTTAAGCACTCTTTTCACTCCTTATCATTCATTCCATTCTTGATCATCAAAATACTATTTTGAGAGGTAGAAACTTATTTTTATGATTGCAAAGATATTGGCATCCATTAGAGCTTTACATTTAAACACTATTTGCTCAATTGCATGAGCCTTCATTCTTGTGTTGTTAAAATCAATCTTCTTTGAGTTTGTGGATTCCAAGACTTGTGTGATTCAAGTCTTGATTGTAAGAAGTTGAGGCTTGTGGGATTCAAGTTCTCAATTTATAATCGGTTACACCCGTTGAAGCTTGAAGTATAGTAGGACCTTTGAGAGAGTCTCTCAGAGGACTGGGCTAGCCACGGGGTGGTAAACCAGTATATATCGCAATGTTCTTCGTTCCCTATACTCTTTACATATTTCTCGCTAGTTTTCCCTTATGTTTATCACACACGCAAAAAACGCTCATTCTAGAAAAGAACTCTATTCACCCCCCTCTAGAGTTGCACGTTTTGTCTAACATATGAGTGTTGAGAACCAACCCATAGTTCTTTTGTTTAGCAATTATGCTTGACCCCATTAATCCTTACTAAGTTTACTACTGGGTTTAAGACATTACAAAGCCCATAACGTCTAAGATGTTTAACTAGACCTACTATATGATGAGGCTAAGACTAGGGTGAGGATTGCTAGTGGTGACTCAGACTATTTTTGTATTGAGGTAGGGTTACACAAGGGGTCGACACTTAGTCCCTTTTTTTAGCGTTGGTTATGGATGTTTTGTCACAAACTGCCCAAAGTGGAGGTCCCATGGTGCATGCTTTTTGCTTATGATATTAAGTTGATTGATGAGACACGGGAGGGACTTAATGGCATGTTAAAGTTATTGCGCATTGCTTTGGAATAGAAAGGATTTAAGCTAAGTAGGACTAAAATTGAATACATGGAATGTTACTTGAGTGGTGGAGCGACCAACTTATTCACAAAAGTTCTGATTAATTCTCACCCCGTGCCTAAGAGCACGTTCTTTAGGGCTTGAACTCTTAACTTCGAGTTCCTTCAGTTTCTTCCAGTTCCTTCCAGTTTCTTCTAGTTCCTTCTAATTTCTTCAAACTATTCTCATTTTCTTCAAACTTTTTCTACTCCTCAACCAATTACTCTAAAACAATATATTTTAATGTGATTATTATTAATATTATTATTATTTTTATTATTATTATTATTATTATTATTATTATTATTATTATTATTATTATTATTATTATTATTATTATTATAACTTTTATGTTCATAACTATAGTTTATAAATTATTTTTTTCATCTCATTATTTTTACGATTCACACTCATTATTTTTTTTCAATTTTTTAATATGAATAAGACAATTTTTTTGTATATTTCTCTACATGATAAAATAGGAAAACATCAATATGTTAAATTATAGGGTTAAAACAATTATGGATAAAATAGTGACATGAATGTTTTATTAATCTAACTTTATATAAGACCTCTCACCTTTTTCCTTTATTACTTAAAATTTGCTCATTTTTCTAATTTTTATAAAAAAAATTGTAAGTCAAAATAGTTTAGAGAAAAAGACTAAAATAGGAGTAAAACATAAAAAATGTATAAAAAAAGTTCTATGTATTTATTCCAAACATAGGACTTCAATGAAATAAAATGTCAATCATGAAAGAAAAAATAAGTTTGATTACATTATGTGACATGTCTAATATTTAAAACAAAATCTTGTAATACATAAAGTATAACTACAAATATATTATTTATAATAAATACTGCATAAATAAATTAAGGTGCGATATAACCACAAAGACTTTTTAAAATTTAATATTTTTATATTTATGCTAATTTTATATTATAATTATTTTTTTTGAAAAAGTACTTTTTTGTATTTAAAAAATAACAATACTTTTTTGTATCTTAAATGCATTCATTACGATAACGTGATAATGATGATGATGATGATGATGATGATGATGATGATGATGATATAAACAACAACAACAACAACAACAACAACAACAAAACCAACAACAATAATAATAATAATAATAATAATAATAATAATAATTTATACCAATAAGAATTTAAAATAAATGTTTAAAATTTTTTTTTAGGTTTTCTAATTTTTTGATGTTTTTCTAGTTCTTTCCAATTTTTTCCAGTTTCTTCCAGTTTTTTTCAATTCTTTTTCTAGTTTTTTCTATTTTCTTTTAACATTCAGCTCTTTTTTTCCGGTCCTAAAGAACAGGCTCTAAGAGAGACAAGACTAATGGGGAGTTAGGCGAAGATGTTGCTCATTGTGTTGGAGCTACTTGGACCAAGTAAATCTTTGAAGGAATTTTAGCTTTATGGACAAAGAGGATTGAATATTTGGTTTGGTTTTTTTTAGATTAATTTGAATTTGAAGGAATTTTAGCTTTACGCTACTATTAAATCTAAACTCGAAAAGGTGTTCTTAGAGCTACTCTTCAACAAATTTTATTAAAAAATTGGACCAAATTAGGAGTGCAGCCTAATCCAGTTTAAAATGAAATTCTTTTAAAGTACAAAGTGCTTTAAATAGCCAAACTTTTCTTGAAACTAAGTGTCACTTGATTAGTACTTGGCTGCCTCATTAATTAGTTTTTGCTAATCAAGGTTCTCGAACTGATTTTGTAAAATAATCGTAATGTGACTGCAAAGTTGTTATGGTGATATTTTCCACAAATCTTATTGCACTATTTTTAGTAGTAACTTAAGGGTTCGTTTTGGATTTCTAAGGGTAATAAGATCTAGAGTTAGGGTTGGTCTTAAGATTAGCTAATATAAATTGGAGAATAGGAAAGAGTTATTGGAGGACCTCTTCTTCAGCCTAACCATGAGTTTAATTAGCAATTTAATTTCAAAATAAAAAAAATAATTGATTAGTTAATAATATTTGTTCAGATTATATATGTTCTATTACTAACAACTATAAGTATTTTCAAAACGGATTAAGTTAATTATTATTGTTTAAGTTCTATAAAGTTTAAGTGCATGCTTGTCTTGTGTGTTTGTTCTCTCCTTGAGGGTTACTTCTGAGTTTCAATCTTACTACTGTGGTTCCATTCTCTTATATGTTATCCTTATCTTTATTTTTTTTGCATATTTATATTTCTTTTTAATTTATCTTTCAACCCCCCCCCCCCCATAGCTCTTAGTTTAGTTATTAGTTTTAGTTAGCTATATTTTTTTTTAATAAAAGAGACACAGTGAACTGATTTTCATAATAATAAAAAGTATCTTTCTTCGTGAGATCGACTCTTACATGCCTTATCTATATATTTTAGTCCATATTAAATCATAAAGAGAGATTAAAGTTCAGGAAAATAATAAATTAATTTGTAGGTGCTACGACACACCTAAAAACTATGGCACACAATTGTGAAGGACATCATAAGTGTGAAAAAACTTCGTTTCATCTGTAGTGGAACTCAAATTGACATGAAATTGACGCCATGAAAGTAATGGGAATTGTCATACTGAGTGATCTAAGTTTGGAGGCCTTTTTGAAAGGTAATCCATGAAAAGGTAGTCAGCGCATGTCAATTTCTCTGGGCCGTATTGAGATGTTACTTCATCTCCTTCACCTTCCTCTCTCTCAAATCCATCATCTATGTGTTCTACAACGTCTGTGTCTTCGTACTTCTTCTGGAACTTCCAAGTAGGGTTTGTCTCCGACGACGTGAAAGGTGAAGCAATAAAGGTTAATTTAGATTGCAAGAGTGGAAGATGGAGTACTTTCAAATTTTGGCATAAGGAGATGGGAGAGGATTAAGAGGAAGAAAAAACGTATCAAAATATGATTAATGGAAGAGAGAAGAGAAGAAGAGGGAGGCGAACATTGAAGAAGGAAGAGAAAGTAGTGTTGGAAATTTTTAGATAAATTGGACATTTTTGGACATAAATTCGGTAGGATCCACAAAATTATTTCCCGAAATAATTATGGACATTTAATCTCGTAAGTAAGATAAATGTTTCGACATATTACACGCCATAAATGGTGCTTGGGTGAATAAAAAATTAATTCTCAAAGTTGAATATGAGGGAAGTGTAAAACCCTTGTCCAACACCGGTTTTTGAACCTTTCGTATTCTCATATTTAAGCTTAGGCATTTATTTGAGCTTATGAAAGGAACAAGAAAAGGACTCCTCGTGCACCGCTGCCGTCTGTCCCGCTCGACACGACACGCGTGCAGCACTACGGGGCGGGGATTGCCCACATTTGGCCAGTGCAGGAGGCGGACAATATTACCTTAAGGAAAGCTCCGGCGACTCCGCTTTCCTTACCTCTGTTCAAGAAACTTCTCCGGCGACATCCTACCACCCGACGTCTCTGCTCAGCGATCCGTTCATGTTCCTACTTCCGTTTTCATTCGCTCGAGCTTCCCGAAAACTCCAATTTACTTTATTTATTTTTCTTTGTAAAATCCGAACGTTTTATAAGTTCAGATTAATTTTATTTTTTTATTCCCGCTGTAATATTCAACAAGTAGGGTTGAGTGTGCCAGCCCTTTTGTTATGGAAAATATTCCAAAAATAAAATTATGTATTTCTTTTTTGGGAGACATAAAATGAAAAGAAGGTAATTCTTTTAGGGACGGAGAGAGTAGGGTAAATCTACTTGTAGTCCAAAGATTGTATCCAACATGTGCCTGAGAGATTTAGGGGGGTGTGCTCAATATGAATTTTGATAGATTTTTTTGGATTTTAAAAATCAGTAGGTATTGAATTGAGATTTTAAAAAATGATTTAAAATCTAAATATATTTAATTGAGATTTTGAAAAAATCTTTCAAAATCTAATGGTATTCAAATATTGATAGATTTTAAAGGATGTTTATTACATATGGATTGTGAAAGATTTGGTAGGCTCAAGTATAAATAAAAATCCCAGTAACAAACTAGAGATTTTTCCCGACTCCTATCGTCTTCCCCTCTTTCGTATTGGGTATGATTCACATCTTCTCTAGTTCATCAAAAACCCAATTCGAAGAAATAAAAACACATAAAAACAAACAATGATCTATGCATTGAAAATCAACTGAACAAAAACCCAATTTGGAGACCAATTTTGCATCGCACATGTCAAAGTGGGGGAGACCAATTTTGGTTTTCGGATCGGAGAGTTGGGGATGGAATGTGAGTGCAGGTTTGATTTGGAGCTCTAATTTGATGCCTTGATTTTTATGTGGGACAGTGTTGGGGTGGAACTCTCTACTCTCCCGTGTGTTGTGATGCTCCTTTCAATTGGGTATAAAATGTGGACGGGGGAGGGATTTTGGTGGTGGTTGGGGATGCCGGAGAGAGTGTTGTTGTATTTGGCGAAGATTTCCACGAGTACGCTGAACGTCGGGATGAAGCCAAATTTTTTTTGGGGAATTTGCCTATAAATAAAATGAATAGATAATCAATGGATTATAAATAATCTTACAGAATCCTATAAAATCTTGCTCATAAAATATTTTACAATCTATTTAACTCTGTGTCGATTTAAAATAATCCATGAATTTTACAAAATCCATGGATTCTAAATGATCTATCAGAATCTTTTAAAATTAGGATTGAATACACTCCCCAGATTTATATTTGTGTCAATGTAAATGGCAACTGATGACTTACATTGATACAAAATGTGAGTGCGAAATTTCATAATCACACTATTACTTTGTGCTTATATAAACTATCAAAATATAAGTGTAAACAGTTCATCTACAATTTGAAATACTACCTCCGTCTCATTGTCTTTGTCTACTTTTGACTTTTGGAACTGTTCATCTAAGCACTTTGACTCATCAAATTCTTTCAATGTGTAAGCCTAAAAATAGTCATGTATGATCTTGTTTGATTCGTCTTAACATATAGATTATTAATATATAATTTTTATAATTTTTTAATATACAAATTACAAAATAAAATGAATTAAAGAAGTGCATTGGATGGTGTGCCAAAAAGTAAGTGGACAAAGAAAGTGGGACGGAGGGAGTAAAATCTTTGAAGTAAACATGGTTGAATTTATAATGTGAAAAGTACTATACAATTCTTGCATGTCCCACTAGCAAAGAAAAGCATACGGAATATCGCTTTCTTTTCTCTTCTTCTTTTCTTTTTTCACTTTTTCTTTTTAAATTTTCAAGATCAACTTCTCTTAGCCTCTAGTCCTGATAATGGTAATGGTCCCTCTACCCCGAGTCTGGATTCTAGTTAAAGCAACCACCGCCTTGCCGGACAAGCCGGGTCCGTCCGGCGAAACAAGCGGCCGGCAGGCAAAGTCTCCGACCGGATGCTTCACAGGCCTTGTCGGCGGCATCAGAATCCTCTCGTTGATTTCGTCCAGCGTGAGGTCACCTTCCGTCCCTCCGGGCTTCACCACCGCGAAAGGGTACGCCAATTTTGCCAAAGCCTTTTCCGTTGGCCGCCGATCGCCGCCGACGCTTCCTGGCCGACACAACACATAAGATGTAGACATTCAGAGAGATTCTCTTAATTATTTCAAAAAACAAAAAAAAGAGATCGGATGGCGGACAATTGCCCCACCATAATGTTTAGAAACGGAAAAGTGGTCGTAAAAGGCCAAAGTCATAATTTTGGTCTGGTAATTAAGACGACGTCTAAAACACGCCAACCTTTGTGAGAGGTTTTTGTTTTTGTACCTAATTTAACCAATACATTGTGGCATACGGAGTATTTGAAAATAGGAATTTGAAATATAGAAAGATATCTGGAATTAAAAAAATAAAAATTGTACTCCCTCCGTTTGGAAAAAGTGTTTTTATTTTGACTTTGTGTAAAAATAAGGAAGTGTTAAACTGTAGTTAACTTCCAATTTTGCCCTTGATGTGATAGGTAAAAGTAAGATGTGATGGATAGATTATTAGAGATAAAGTATGATGTGATAGGTAGGGTATGAAAAAGTAAGGGTAAAAGTGGTTTTTTAATAGAAAGTGGAAGTGTTTTGTTGGAAGTGAAAAAATGAAAGAGGAAGTGTTTTAAAAAACTGAGGGAGTATATTTTAAAAACTATATCAAAAAATTTATAAAACTAAATGTGACATGAGCATATTATTTTATCAATAAAGTGAATAAAATTTGACCTTGTGAATAGTGATTAAGATATAATTTTTGGACTGAGGGAGTAACTACAATCAATCTCAAAGTGTTTTGTACTCTACGTAAAACAAAACAAATTTTAAAATTTCTCTATTCAATTTATTCAAAATTTGATATAGAAATAAAAACAAAATTTGCATATGTGAAAGCTATGTTAAAAAGTTTTACAAAATAAAAGGTAACAAATTAATTTTAATTTATCAAATAAGCAATAAAAATACATTGGAGATGAAATATTTATGCATCCATTTCTTTCTTTTTTTTTTTGAATTCACCAAAAAAATCTTAAATATTTCGAAAAAGTAAATAAAATCTTCTTTTTACACGAAAAGAGCGAGATGGAATTATTCCCTGGAGATGTATCTATACTTCTACAGATCGACAAAGGCCAATCCTTTGGTGCCTCTTCCAAATTCCAAAGTGGGGGTTTTAAAATCCTCGCCATGTGGCGCAGTAAGAAAGAGACATGTGGACATAATATTCTACCTCTTTTAAGAACTTAAATTATTTTTGTTAATTCAATATTGGCGTCAATCCAAAATTAATTTATCTTTATTCCCTTTAGTGTCATCATACGTTAACATCATCTCCTTTAATTGTTTTGCGTCTCCATCTCCATCCAACCTCGCATCGTATTTTCCAGAGGAGCGTCTCCATCGCCGCCGCCTTCGTTCAGAGTCGTTATCTCCATCCAGCGCCATCGACGGATTTGGCCCTTCAAATTCAACCCTAGATCGGCTCAATCTCTTGCTTTCTTTCTCTCATGTTCCCTTCTATCAATTTTTTCATTGATTAAATATAATTCTTTTGAGAGGTACGAGTATTATGTTCTGAAATCTCATTTTCTTGTTTCAAATATGTCTATTTCTCATTTTTAGTTTGATTTACACCATGAATTATTATTTTGTTAACAGCGGGTTAGCGAACGGTCTATTTTGTGCAACAAAATGAAAGTTGGGATTATTTTTAGTAAATTTTTTTATTTATTTTAATACGTAGTATTTATTTAAGTTTTTAAAAAATTTTCTACATAAATTTCTTTTTCCTTTTAAAAAATATTATTCTTATCTTATAAAAAATAAAAAATAAATATAAAATATCAAATATAAAAAATAAGTATAAAAATATTAAGTATAAGATTTTAGTTATTTTTCTCATTTTTTTTTATTTTTTATATCTGTTCTTTTTATTTATATCCAAAGTTAGACTAATCTTTAAAAAATACAACAAAATGAAAGTTGGGATTATTTTTAGTGAATTTTTTTATTTATTTAAATATTTATTTAAGATTTTAAGAAAACTTTCTACATAAATTTCTTTTTCCTTTTTTAAATATTATTCTTTTCTTATAAAAAATAAGTATAAAATATCAAATATAAAAATAAGTTTAGAAATATTAAATACGGAGTATAAGATCTAGTTATTTTTTTCATTTATGTTATTTTTTATATCTATTTTGTTATTTGAGTAATTCTCAAAATAGTCTTTTGTAATAAGGGGATTTCCCAAATTAGTCCTCAATAAGTTTTAATTACCTACGTGGTCTTCTATAATTGAGATTTATTCCCAGAATAGTCCTTTGTAATAAGGTATTTTCCCAAATCAGTTCTCAATAAGTTTTCGTTATCTACGTGGTCCTCTGTAATTGAGATTTATTCCCAAAATGGTCCTTTGTAAATAATATTACTCAAATGAGGATTAATTGAGGGTATTTTTTATCCGCTAAATTTAGAATTTAATTCTTAAAATAATCATTTATAATGAAGTGCTTTCCCAAAATGGTTTTTCTAATTAAAGATGTGTATTTGATTTGAAATTTAAAAGATTTTTTTATGTTTTAAATAATTCATAAAGTATTTATAGTCAATGTATTTTTTAAATTTTACATTTAGTTGTATAGAAATGATTGTTTCGAGAATATACTTTAAATTTAGATGATCAAAATACCAAAATATCTCCCAATTAATCCTCATTTGAGGACTGATTTGGAAAAACACCTTATTACATAGAAATAAACCAAATACATTTATAAAACTTAAAAAAATTTTAAATTTCAAATCAAATACAGATTTTTAATTAGAAATTGGGAAAGCACTTCATTATAAATAATTATTTTAAGAATTGATTCTAAATTTAGCAGAGAAAAATACCCACAATTAATCCTCATTTGAGTAACATTATTTACGAAGGATCATCTTGGTAATAAATCTCAATTATAGAGGACGACATAGGTAATTAAAACTTATTGAGGACTGATTTAGGAAAACACATTATTACAAAGGACTATTTTGGGAATAAATCTCAATTATAGAAGACCACGTAGGTAATTAAAACTTATTGAGGACTAATTTGGAAAAACCACTTATTACAAAGGACTATTTTGGGAATTTACTCTTGTTATTTATATCCAAAGTTAGTCTAATCTTTAAAAGAATACAAATGATGGATAGACATATTTGGAACAAGAAAATGAGATTTCAGAACATAATACTCATATGTCTCACAAGAATTACATCTAATCAAAGAAAAAATTGATCGAAGGGAACCTGAGACAAATAAAGCAAGAGATTGAGCAAATTTGTGCTTGATTTTGAAGGGCCGAATCGTCGATGGCGTTGGATGGAGATAACGACTCTGAACGAAGGCGGCGGCGATGGAGACGGTCCTCTGGAAAATACGATGCTGGGTTGGATGGAGATGGACACGCAAAACAATTAACGAAGATGGCGTTAACGTATGATGGCGGCATGGCGCTAAGGAAAGAAAAATAAATTAATTTTGGATTGGAGTCAATGTTGAATTAACAAGAATAGTTTAAGTTTTTGAAAAAGGTGGAATATTATGTCCACATGTCTCTTTTTTATTACGCCACATGTGGACGATTTTAAAAGCCCCATTTTGGAAGAGGCACCGAAGGAAGGAACTAGACCTTGCAAAAAGTGACCCGACATGTTTTTGACCCGAAACCCGACCAGAAAATACTGGATTTTGAACAAAGGTTTTGATTACCGAACCCGAAATTGACCGAACCCGAAATGGCCCGCTAAAAATGGGTCAAACCCGACCGAACCCGAACCTGACCTGACCGACCCGCTAAAGTAAGAATTTTTCAAAATTATACACTTTTTTACTCATTTTTAGTGTATAAATTTATATTTTCAAATAAAATTGTAATGATATTGCATAATTATGTTACTTTTTTCAAAACTTAAGCATTTTTAAATTCTTTATATTGATTTATATATCTAAAAACTACTTTAGAGTTTAAAATAAAATAATTTTATAGATTTAATATTTTTTTATATTTTAAATTTATTTAATAAAAATGTAAGTGTTAATGTGAATTTAAAAATTTAAAAAACCAAAGTCATAACCCGTTGGGTCGACCCGAACCCGATGACACTGGGTCATGAACATACAGTTATTAACCCGAACCCGAATTGACCAGAACCCGAAATAACCCAAACTTGAAGTGACCGAATCCGAACCCAACCTGACCGACCGATTTGCCAGCTCTAGAAGGAACCCTACCAGTGACCAAGCTTGGCTCTTCTTGAAGTAGACCATGGATAGACTAATCAAAATTAGAAGAATTTATTTTGCTATATTCACTCTACTCTTGAACTTTGAAAATTTAATTTAAAAATTTTGAATTTTTAAAAAAATTACATCAATGGACTTGTACGTCAAATTTAGGAGCGCATTAATCACATCTACGCTCATCAACATGCATGTCAGAGCTTGATGAGTATGACATGATTGATGACGAACTTGATTGACTAGCGCATGGACTTTTAATTTGGTTACCGACGGCTAAAGTTGGAATAATTATTTGGGAAGACATTTTGTAGAACTCACGTGTGATATACGAGTACGTTCAGATGAATCCGGACTTGCACTACATGAGCATATGATTAACACACTTTCAGTTCTGGTAAAGATACAACGTTTTAAAAAATTTAGAGATCATTGGTGCAATTTTTAAACTTTAGGGAATCCGTACAACTTTGAAGAGTTCGAGAGTAAATGACACACGAAACTCAAAATTAAAATGGGAAACATTTTTTCGTATGGAGCAAATAACAAACTAAAAAAAGAAATTGCCTTAAATATGACTAAAAATAGAAATAGTATCAAAATAGGAGTTTCATGTTTTTATTCACTAAATAGGTGTTCGCATAGTGGTAATGTAACACTATGCATATGCATTTTATGTAATATACATGACCATGATTGATAATGAAAATAGATTTTAACTTCTATTTCACGAATAAAAACATAAAAATCTATTATATTTTCAATACATTTTAACTCATTTTTTCAGTGAAAGTGATAAGGACGATGAGGGATCGAAAATTACCGGCGGAAAAGGACGGTGGGGTATGCTTATTATTACTGTGATAGAATTTGCGAGAATCAAAAGCTGCTTCTTCTTCCTCAGACCGATTGCTTTTCATCTCTGTGAGTAAAAAGGATGTTTAATTTCAAACACTTCACTTTAATTTATGCTCTCCCTCTAGGATGCAAATTCGCATTTATTTTCAAGCGATTCATAATCTTCTGTTTTTTCCTTTTAATATAGATCGAATTTGCTTACGATTGGGATACACAGAGGATATTACACTTAGATTTTACAATAAAATTTGTTTACTTGTTAGAAAGTTAAACTATATAGTAATGCTAGAATCATAAATAAAATATTCACAAAATTTATAAAGTTATCATTTATGCAAAGAAATAAATTAGAATAATGGTCTCAAAAAATTAAAAAATAAAAACTAAAAACAAAAATGGTAAATTTGTGTATTTTAATTGTGAGTATTTTATTTATAACTCTAGCATTACTCTTAATATACTATTTAAAATAACGTAAGCAATAACTACGTAAGCAATATATATATTAAAACCCTAAACCCTAAACCCTAAAACTAGGGGTGTGCATTATTCGGTCCAGACCCGGACCGACCCGAAACCCGGCCAAAACCGGACCGGACCGGTCCGGTCTCCGGTCCTCATTTTTTTCTTATTCGGGTTCCGGTCCGGTCTGGTCCACCGGGTTTCGGTCCGGACCGGTGGACCGGTTAGATTTTATTTTTTTTTAATATTTTTTTCTATATAAATTTATAATATTGTATTTTTTAAGGTTTTTTCTTATACTTAAAATTAGTTTAACTTTAATGCTAAATTTTTTTAAATGTTTTGATTTTATTATTTAATATAATTTTTTAAATACATTTCAATTCAAAATAAGATACCAATTGTAATGCTTTTTAAATATTTTTAATATTAAAAGTGTGAAAAAGTAAACATTACCTTTATATTAGCGATCTCATGCATTTCAAATTTATGTACCAATACTATAACTTAAATTTGTACTTTATCAATAATAAAACTCTAATCCGCAGAACAAACATTGTAAACAATCTCATGCACAAAAATAATAAAAAATGTATCTGTTTGTCAAAATAAATTGAAAACTCAAAAAAATATTACAAAAAAACAAAAATGTACTAAGAAGAAGAATATTCCCTATGCAAAATAAAAATTATGAACAAATTTTATGTAATACGGATGGAAGATATATATTTTATTTAATTTTTTTTTTAAAAAATTCAAAACAATTGTGTTTGATAATGTTTAGTGTATGTTACAATTAAAAATTAGTTGTAGTAATATTTTTATTCAATTGAATACTTTAAATTAAATAAATAAAATCAAATTTAAAAAAATATTAAAATTAAGATTTATTCGGTCCGGTCCCGGTCCGGTCCGAGTTTTACCGGTCCGGTCCCGGGCCGGTCCTTAGCTTAATCGGTCCGGTCCTCGGTCCACCAAATGCCCCTTATTCGGTCCCGGTCCGGTCCCGGTCCGGGCCGGTCTGGTCCGGGTTTGACCCGATGAACACCCCTACCTAAAACCCTAAAACCAAAAAAAAAAAAACCTAAACCCATTTCTTGGAAAACTTATCTAAATAGTACTAGAACAAAGCGACTTTTCTAATGTAGTAACATATTTTTTTATTTTCCAATGTAGTACCACTGATTAATATCCAATGGTCATTGTTCAAGTAAATGTCAGCGCTACTGGACATTGTTCAAGCTAAATGTTCACCATCAATAGACATTGTTCCCACTACTAGATATTATTCATGAACTATTTAGGGAATAAAAAAATTTAAGTACTACATTGGAAATCAATGCCATGGGATGACCCGGTGGTGCTTGGGTGGCCGTTCGTAAAATCGATAGTTCCTACCCCTCCTAACCCCCCGGTAAACCCTCCACCCCGCCACAACCCGAACACACACCCAGCCCCTTCAATTACGCCTCCCAAGTTAATTTTGGCTTTGGAGTTAAATTTTTACTCCAAAATCAAAATTAACTTGGCTGTAGAATTGAAGAGGGTGGGGAGTGTGTTCGGGTTGGGGTAGGGTGAGGGAGTTTAAGGGGGAATTAGGGGGCGTAGAAACTGTCAATTTTGTGAACAGGGTACCGGAATACTCCCATGTCATCCTATGACATTGATTCTTAATGTCATGGGAACTAAGAAGAAAAGACATATCTTTTAGTATTATTTAGTGCAAAATTCACATAAGTATTTCTTATCCGGTTTTCAATCATATTATCTAATTGTGTAGTATGAAAACTACAATATACACTTAGGATACATCTTTTGATATAGAGTAATATTAGAGTTACAAAAATTTAGACACAAACTACAGAATCTTTCCAGTTATGTACTTTTTCAAGTTAATGAAATGATTTTAAACAATTAAAATATAATAATTTCAAGACACAAAAGACTAAATTTGTTTAGTTTGTGTCTAAATTATTTGTTACTTTATTATTCTTTTATACTCCTTCCGTTCCTTTAAATCCTTTTACTTTTGACTTTGGGAAAAAAGAAGGAAAGTGTAGTTTTGGTTGATTTTCTAATTTTGCCCCTGATGTGATGGGTAAAAGTAAGATGTGATAGTTTGGTTATTAGAGAAAAAGTATGATGTGATAGGTAGGGTATGAAAAAGTAAGGGCAAAAGTAATTTTTTAATAGAAAGTGGAAATGTTTTAAAAAATTTTAAAAAAACAAAAGGGAAAGAGTTTTGTGGAAGAGAGAGTATATTCTAAGCATTTTTGCAATAATGAATGATGTTGGAAGGAAAGTTATCTAAATTTCAATGATTGCAATCAATGCGATACAGCAAACATAATAGAGTCAAAATGGTAGTTACACCGTATTTGTTTTGTGATGTCTGACTTTAGTTCTCAATTTATCAGCAATCCCACATACCGAGTACTTCATAATATTCTCTATGTCTCATACTTCGTATTTCTTTTCCGAGTATATTAAATAGTACGGTATGATACAATATTTAATCCGTATCAATATTGCTCATACAAAATATTTTGATTCAGTATGAGTTTTTACATTGTACCGATCTTGACCCCGAAGTTTTATTCGAGATAGTTCGATATCAGTTTCGTGATAAATCAAGATGAAAACATATACACCTAATTTAAACTTTAAAATGTCACAAAATATTTATTTCTTATAATATCGAAAGTATATTTAAACTTCATGCAAGAAATGCTTATTAAACTTAATTTATATCTCATAATTAAACTACAGTGGACGAATGATAACAAAATAATATTTTAAATGTGTTACTATTTTTAAATTCTTCTACAAAAATTAGAACTCAAATAAAAATACAATACACATAATAAAATTTGAGCCTGATTTTAAAAAAAAATTTATTATTCAATGAAAAATATAAACAAATTTTTATATTTATAATATATTAGTATATATATTTGGTTCTTGATTTTCGGTATAGGAAATTATCTGGTATTGTTCCCATATACCGAATCAAACATTCGGTACGGTTCGGTATTTAGTGGTATTTTTTTGGTTCGGTATTTTTTAGTTTTTTCTCGATTTGTTTTGGAACATTGAGGTACCGGTTCGGTATTTGCTACAGTTGAGATTTTGATATATTTTTGAAAGATATAATTTATAGTTTTATTGGGAGTCTCCATGCATTGGGTTTCTTCCGATACGAGAAAGATCAATTAAATGTTATTCCCATATAAAGAAAAGTGAAACACCACTCATTAGGTTATTAAGCTTTTGGATAGAAAGTGGATATAGACTTTATAGGGCTAACTTATCAAATTTCACCTAATACTCCGCCCAATTCATTCGTCCCACCAAAATTTCAACATGGTTTCAAAGCCAAGTTTGGTTTGCCTTCAATTCATCCTAGCATTTTTCAGGCTGGCTATAAAGAAATTGAAATGCTAGATCTATTCATTTATTCAAGTAGTAACTAGATCATGCTAGTTACCATTTGAGGAGGGGTGTTGGGAGTCTCCTTGTGTTGGATTCTCTATCCCACACCACGAAAAAAACAATTAAATATTACTCTCATATAAAGAAAGATGAAATACTACCAATTAGCTTAAGCATTTGGATAGAAAGTGGATTCATATTTTATATGGACAAGTGATCAGATCTCACCCAACATTCCCTCCAGTTCACTCGTTCCACCAATCTCCAACATTTATTTCTCTACCAATTTACATTAAAAGGATTTTGAAAGAAATAATATGTTACACGTTATTCAAAATCTGATAAGTAATTTAAGATAGGAGTACAAAACAAGTAGGTTAATTTATAACATAATTAACTAAATAATTGTGATTAATTCAAGGATGGAAATGGTATTCCATGCATAACCGGTAGGTGAGAAATAACACTTAAATTAATCTCTATAATGCCTAAAAGAAAGTGGAGTAGTTACCTGAAACACTAATTTAATTTGAATGAATGAGACGTTTCACTGTTTCAATATAACGTTTTGACTTTGTTACCAGCACAATTGCACAAATTTAAAAAACTCATGTAAATGTCTAGGGTAAAGCTATTTCTACCCAAAAGAGTTGTACCCCATTTTGTACGGAGTACATTGCAAGGATATACTAACATTTTGTGTTGGTATAATACTAATTTTTGTTAACGCACCAATACTTTGTATCAATGTGAATCAATAAAATATTGGTGTAAACATTTGGTGTACAAATGAGATGAAATTTTGGGGTACATGTAGCATGCTCCATAAAGTCTAATGGAGCATTCTGCCACTCCGATCCATATAAGTTCTTCCTATATTTTTGACTTTTCACATGCAAATGTAAATTCTTTTATACTATTTGCGTCCCTGATCGAGTATTTGTTCAGACTTTTTGTAGTTTCTATTTAATTCGAGTTCAAAGATCGAAAATAGTTGACTGCAAAACGTCAAAACTGGACAAATACTTATTGATGAAGATAGTAGTATATTTTGTGATTGACTTTCTAATATTGCGCTGCCACTTATTTTATTGAGTGATTATGATTAGTAAATTAATAGTGAAACGATATGAAATGATAAATATTTCTTCCGTTTTCTAAGTGTTCTTCTTTAGTTTTTTTGTTTGCATCAGAACACTTTCACTTTAAAAAATGACTAATATATTATAATAAAGTCGTTGCAATATATACTTCATTCATTTTGTATTGATATTACAAATTATTTAAATGAGTTGTCTCTGTTTTTCTTTGACGATAATGGCATAAGTGGAAAGTCAAATTACAAAAATAAATCTGGCAGAAATCAAAACAGGAACTATTTTACGTACAAAACCAATGAAGTATAATTGATAGGAATAAATATATATGTAATATGAATTGAATGAGAAACTGTAATTTTGAACTCTATAAAAAATGAAAGGAGAATAATTTTTTAGGATAGAGGAAATACGGAGTACGTAGTATTAAATATGAAATTTACTATATTTTCAATTCCAAATAAACTCTGTATTTGAAGGTCTATTTGACTACTTTGTACTTTTTTTTGAACTCTTTAATTATCAGCTGCTCCCTAGCATGAGACTCTTTTTCTTTTATCAGATTTTCTCTTTATTTCAAAATAAAATTCATATATTCTTTTTTTGAGAGGGAGTGTCATAAAAACTATGAAAATTAAGTTTGAATTATTGATATTGGTGGTGTTAAAAAACAATTACGATTGGAGTAAAATGCTCTCAAAAAATTGAGTAAAATAAATTTAAAGTGATTGTTAATCGCACAAATATGACCAAATTTGGTATGAGACAAAAAGAATTGGACAAAAAAAAGATAAAACAAGACAAAAAAGTCAAGGAACCAACTCAACCAAAAGCTCAAGCTTGTGGTTGTGGCCTAGGAATGATTGTTATATACTCTAACACGCCCCCTCACGTGCAGGCGTGACCTCTTTGAGCCTTGCACGTGAAACCTTAATTTTTTTAAACTGGGTGGTAGTGAGTTTCGAACTCGTGACCTCTTGGTCATCAAGGCTCTAATACCATGTCAAGGAACCAACTCAACCAAAAGCTCAAGCTTGTGGTTGTGGCCCAGAATGATTGTTATATACTCTTAAAAAATAATGCGATAATTCAACAGATGGTGTATTATTTCTTTATATATATATATATATATATATATATATATATATATATGAAGAGAGAGAGGGAGAGAGAGTACAAAACAGAGCAACAAAGTAGGGGGTAGTATAATTAAGGCAAACCTGGAAATGGAATGCTATCATCCCAATTCTCATAAGAATGCTGCACCTTTATGTTGTGGCCATAATCATCATCATCATCATCATAATCCAGCTTTGTGATGTTCTGAAAAATTGGCCATTCATTCGTTGATTGATTGAACGAATAATTATGTTATTTAATCATACAAAATCACATCATTACTTTTTTACGGATCGACTATATATTTATTGTCTATCAGAAATTCTTTTTCTTAAATCAAATTAGTCGTAATTTTTCAAAGGGACTAATTATTAGTTGTAGAAGAGTTCAAAACGAAAAGTATATTACATACCCACACAACATTCAAGTCTTTGCAATTGCCAGCTGGATTATCATCATCATCATCACCAAACAGTAACAGCCTCCTCCTCTTTGTATTGAAGTTAAACAAAGCATCCTGCAAGTAGCCGGTACACACGTCGCCGGAGTCGTCGACGTCCGGCCACTTGCACGGCGGCGTGTTCTCTGTACCTGCATTTATATATGTATATATATATATATATATATATACAGTAATTACTCTATAAAGTGGATATGATATATATACCACACATGGACTTATTTTTAATTAATGGCCAATTACCAGGAGAGGGAAAGCTGCAGGAGGCGGCGACATGACGGAGGCCCCAACCGCCGCCGGGAGACGAAGTGGGGGCTATGGAGTACTGTAGATTGTCCATATTATGATATGATATGTCCTTTTTATTTTACTGCCACAGGGAGCAGAAGAGCCAGAAGCTGGGCTGCCCTGTATATATACAGCCCTCAATTGTCTCTCAGGGGTATTTAAGGGAGAAGATGGTTGTGGGTGTGACACCAAGCCAAGTCGACAAAATATGTATTCCGTTTGTCTTATGTCTTTTTCTACCCTTCCCTTCCAACAAGGAGTGGGCAAGAATTACCAAGCCATTGTCCCGACTGAAAATATCTTAGTCCCGTGTGTGACAAAAAAAATTTCCGAACTCGTTTCGAACCATTTTAAAATGAGACATGACTAGGACACATAAATATTTTCTCATTCCGTTCCGTTGTCTAGTATATATGTATATATCTACTTAATAATTTATATAATGATATAACACAAAAAAAAATCACAATTTGTATTTTTTTCAATTTAGATATAGAAACTATCCAAATTTAAATTCTAAAAACATAGATTAGGAACGGAACACCTTAAAATCCATACTGTTCTAACTCGACCCAACCCAATTTGTGGCTCATAACTTTTATTAAGTTTATGTTCTTTACGTTTGACGTATATTGTAACATTTTTCATATTTACTTATTGTTTTTTGCTTTTTAAAAACATTCTAAATAAATACTCTCTCCATCAAAGTGGGTAGCCTCATTTTTAAGTACTTGGCAAGTCAAAGTGGGTAGCCTCCCCCTTATGTATTGTACTCTCTCCGTCCTAAAACTATCTTCTCAGTTACTATTCATATGGTCAAACTTAAATCACTTAGTTTACCTGTTTTCGTTATTTATTTGATAAAATAATATAGTCTTGTCACATCTTGTTTTGTAGAACTTTTGATGTAGTTTTTAAATATATAAATTTCATTTTTTAATTTTACACCTACAATCAAATAAATTTAATTGAAAATAAAATCGGTCAAACCTCGTAAATACAAACGGGGAGATGGTTTTAGGACGGAGGGATCGGAGTATATATTTTTATATCTAATTTCAGATAATGACAAAGCAGGACAATTCGGAATCATTCCATTTTATCTTGATCTTGAATATTAAGGGACCAAGAGGGATAAGCTTGTGGCACGAATTGTTCCGAACAATTTGAAAAAAACGAGGCAAAAGGCGAGACAATGTAAAACCCGGTCGAGTCAACCGTCCTGATCCATGTCCACCCTTACTTGCTATGTGTTTTAATATAACATGTGTAACACTCCAAAATATACCCTAAAATTATTAATGAAATGTTACTCAATTAAACAAATTTGTTTTAATTAAAATATATTATTGTTGAGCTTTGGGCTGGAATGAAATATGTTTTGATATCCAATGTCATAATCTGGAGAAATCTCTTAGAGATAAATCCAATATGTGGACTATATGTGTGATCTTGATTGAGAACCAGAGTACAGACCCAAATTAAGAATAAATAAAGAATTTGATTTATGATGTGAACTTGAACTGATTTATTGAAATAAATCATGAGAATAATAAGTAATATGAATTAAATGAAAAAAATAATTTTGACTCTGCCAAAGTCAAATCTCGAAAAATATGATGCCGGAAAAAGAATTGTGGATAAAAATGAAAATTATATCGTTGAATAGAGTTTGACTGTCTGGTCGCAACGTTGCAAACGAAATTTAATTCGGAGAAAGTTGGACCAAAAAGTGTACCCCGACTAGAGCCAAAATTAATCCAATCAGGAACGACATGTAAAATCCTACGAATCAACCACCCATCGCACAGAGCCGATTGCCGATTTCCATTATGTAAATCCCTTGTCTGCTTCCTTCCTCCTCTTTCTATATAAGGATACACAAACCTTCACCACTCTTTACCATTCTTTCTCCATTAGAGAGCTATGAGCATGGAGAGCAAAGTGGTGTTGTCCAGAGAGCTTCACGTTGTCGGAGCAATCCGTAGTGTTCACCGAAAGTTTTGTCGTTCAATCGTTGGAATCATTGTTATGCTCTGAGGTAAGCCCTTAAATATATCTAGTGATTAGAATGTTTGTATATATCATTTCTTCGTTCATAAACGGTCGTTTGGTTGAGTTCCGTATTGGACATGCTTGTAGAACCAAGAATCATAAACCTTGAATTTGTTGTTAAAACTTCAAATTAATGATGCCAAAATGATCTTTGAACGTTGGAGAACATTTCTATATAGGCCTTGTTTGGATATTGACTGTCAGCAGTTGTCTGTTTGTATCAGCTGTTCTAAATACCTGTTTGATTTAGCTTGTTTGACTGGCAAGATGAATTAGCTGTTCCGATATATATATATATACATATATATATATATATATACATATATACATATATACATATATATATATATATACATATATACATACATATATATATATATATATATATTCTTCATTTGTACTGTGGAAATATTTATTTTTCTTTTTTTGTACATGAAATTCAAAATACATTTTAAAAATATTCTGCAGGAAAATATAAAGTATAGTACAGATTAACATAGTCACAAAAAACAAGGGAGCTGGGGCCCATAGGTTATATATATATATATATATATATATATATAAACACACACACTATTTGTTTTTGTACTTTTGTACATTTAAAATTAAATGGTTAATATGTGGAGTATAAAATTTCATTTTCATATAATTCATAAGAAATTATTAAAATATAACTTTTTAATGATATTTACTTTTGATTTTCTCATAAACAATTTTTTGAAAATTTAAAATTTATTTTTTTTTAATTTTTGAATTTTTTTGAATTTTATTTTTATTTTTATTCATATATTATAAAATATCTTTCAAGAAAAATGATTAAAAATATAATTTTTCTAAAAGCCAAGTTCAAAAGCTACTCCCCTTGGCTTTTCGGATTTTGGCATTTTGGATTAAAAAGCCAAGTTAAAAAGCCATTAGCCAAACAACGATTTTGGAAGTTCGGTAAGTGAAATAAGCCAAAGTTAGTCAAAGATGCCAAAAACTATCCGAAAAGTGGTTTTCCAAACACACACATAGTTTAATTGAAGTTTGGTGACCTAAATATAATTTAAAGTTTGAGAAAAAAGGCTGAAGGTAGAAGACGATGAATAGTGATCTCGCATTATGTTTCGTTTTACGGTACCAAGGTAGCGTGTCACGCCACCCAAGTATCGTGACTAGGAACTGTCCCTATGTACCGTCCCAATGTACCGTATGACGAAAATGGTTCCAGAATGGTGCGGTCGACCATTCGGACCCAACAGTCGACTGTTTCGAACATTTTAAAGTCCAAAAATGCTATTTTTGAAGCTATAAAATCCTATTTTTGATACGAATAAATTCTGATTAATATAAAAATGATTTTTTGGGAATAAAAATGATGTTTCTGACAAATAAAATCTTATGTGATGTAAGACGGTTAGCTAGGGTGTTAACAGTTGATGCTAGGCCTCTGTTAGTTATCGGATAATATGATGATTATTATTGATGTTGGTTATGATCAAACTTTAATGAATATTCTGATTAAAGTAATAATTATAAATGTTTAAATCATGACTAAAATGGATATATTGATGATTATGAAAATGATGTGAATTGTTTAGGGTATCTAGAAGAACCCTAAGATATACCCATTTAGATAATTAATGTTGATCATTAAGGATATCTAGAAGAACTCTAAGATATACGTATGTGACCAATCCAGCAATCTGGGGTTAAAACGTACGTACGGGATCCAAACCAAACTCGAGGATCACTCATTTGGGGATATCACCCACCCGACAGTTCACTGTTCCGTTGGTACGTGATCTAGAAGACTCGTAAGATGGATCATCGATTCTTGTGTTCTGCCTTAAACTATTTATAGTTTAAGAGCCCGATTAGAAATATGGCCTTAAACTAGGAATAGTTTAAGAGCTTGTTTTCAAAATGGTTTGACCTTAATTAGATTAAGAATAATTTAAGAGCACGTACTGTAAAAATACTGAATATTGAATATTGTATATATCATTAAATGACTTGAATTAAAATATTATGAATATCATGAATGATGAATGCTTGAATTGAATATTATGTGCATGATATCAAATGATTTCATTATGAATTGAGATTCAATTTATATGCATGGATGTCAGACGCATTAGATATCCTTACTCAGCTTCAACGCTGAGCGTGTAGTGTGTTTTATTTGCTAAACGCAGGTAATAGAAAGAATGATGTGACATGATCTAGAGGTAGACAGAGGTGAGATAGTCGGGATGGACGTAATAATGATTTTGAATTAAAGGACATAAATTAATTATGTTTGTGATTGTGATTTGTTAAGCTTCCGCAATATTTAAAACTCCGTACCGTTAATGTTATGAATATTATTATTGTCATAAATAAAAGTATTTGAAATGTTTTAAATTTTTACGATTACCAAGTTATTACATTAGTCTGAAAGGGGCTACCTGGACGGATTAGGTGTTACAACATTTGTGTTAAAACTTAATGGAATGTTATTTATTTGTCCATTAATTAAGGAAAGTATTAAACGAAGGAATGACCTAGAAAGAATAAGTGAAATAAAGTATGAAATGAAGGAAATAGTTTTAAAGAATCTTGATTACAAATTCTGATGGAAAAAAGATTTAAATGAGAGTAAGACATTGAAAATATACTAAAATAGGAGTTTCATGTTTTTATTATCAAAATAAAAGATAAAATGCATTTACATTACCAATTATGACAATATACATTACCAAAAAGTAAAGTAAAATGCTCATGTACATTGCCATAATATCATAGTACGAACTCCTATTTAGGGAATAAAAATATGGAAATCATATTTAAGTAATTTTTCTATATTTTACTTTTATTTAGGGTGATTTCTTAATTATGATTGGGCTAAATTTCAATGTGTTGAAAGAATTACAATTTGGAATTGGATATGAAGTAAGGATCTGATGAAATCTGATCTGATTTTTTGGATTTTTGATCTGAATGGATCTAATTGGATCTGATTGAATCTAGTATGATCTGATTAGATTTGATCTAGTTGAATCTGATCTCATCTAACTGGATCTAATTTTATCTTATTAGATATTGTGTTAATGAATTTAAATTTGATTTAAATTAAATTTAAAATTATTACAACAATTTAATACTCCC